TATATATATATATATATCTGACGAGTAGTAGTATTTTTTAAAAAAATTAATTGATTACAAGGCTACAAAGATTGATAATCAATTAAAAGATTAATTAAGAAAATAGAATAAAAAATATTAAATTAGATTCAAATGATGTTTTAATATAAACAATAATTTTTAAATCTTGTCCGAACCCCTTAACATCTTATGACTAAGTGAATAGGGTTGTCAAAACGACTCTTTGTTCGTGAACAGCTCGTATTCGGCTCTCTAATCAAAAGAGTCGAACAGGAACACACTTTTTGAGTTCGAAATATAAATGAGTCGAACACGAGCTGAGCCCGAGCTCGCTTGTGTTCGGCTCGTTTACACCCCTACTCCTAATAACAGGAGAGCACTTTCAATTAAGGCTAGTCATTGGCGTTAAGTTTTCAGGCCTAACATGTAATAATAAAAAAATTAAAATTATGAAATTTATCACAGTGAGTTTGAAGAGGATAGTGTTGGGAGACCAGGACAAACTCGATCAAGATCTCATGATTCAGTCATTCCGCTTTGCCATGGACCCTTGTCTACTTAGTCGGTGAATGTAATCGATCCAACATGACAAAAAAATTATTGTCATCTAAGAAAACTAATCTAAGTCAACCTTAGCTTATAGAGGGTTTTGTGGTTTATCAAATATGCCTGATAACTCAAAAGGACAGATTGTCATTGAGGAACATACGGGCTATATATATAATCATTTTACAGTAGAATCTACAGGCCAAACAACTTGATTGAGCTTACTAGCCAAACCATCCGATCAAAAGGCTTTGGTCATACCTATTTTTTTTTGTGGAGCCTATTAGACAAATCATGCAGACACTGGACACAAGCCACATTCTTACTCCCACAAAATTATTTGAGTTTGAAAATATTAGTATGATTAATATGACATTTGTTTTTTGTAAGCTTAAGTCAGCATTAGATTGCCAACCCTGACAAACGATTATGGAGGATGGATGAATTTTACTTTTATCTTTTAAATGATTAATTTTCATTTACATATTTTGAATTTTATGGTTTAAAATCATAATTTAAGAAATAAACTCTTCTAGTTAAAATTCACAATCAACACAACCTTCATCGAGGAACAATTATTTTTTGACATTATTTGAAAGACTCAGTCCTTTCGACTCCAGTTCTTATTAGGAGGAAGATCGGACCGGGGGCTTCGTCTTGTCAACTTCAATCCCTAGGAGGAAGAAGATCGGACTGGCCAAATTGTGGGACTTACAATCTCTCCCTATAGGTAAAGCAACCTGATTAACAACCTATTCAATTAATAGTTTTAAACTCGATATTAAGTTATAAGATTTTTGCAAAGCTTAATTTGGAATATGTAATTGCTTTTTAAGGTAATTGACCCGCACAACATTCTCAAATGCTCTAATGTAAATATTTAAGGATACAATCTAGCAAATGCGAGAATTTTAATGCTTGTTTGAGTTAGTTTTAAATAGCTCCACATATTTTGAAGCATATTAGATTTGAGCTCAAAACATGCTTTTTAACCTGTGCAACATTCTCAGACCTTGTAATCGAGCATTTAGCATGGCGATACGAGCATAAGCATGTGAGTTAAATTTTAGGGATTTCATCAAATTTAAAATGTTTGTACGCTTTTCGGAGCATAGTGGGGACATATATGCAAATACTAAGGCTAAGTATATCATTCACAATTTCATTTTGAACTCTTTAATTCATACCTCTCCCCTTTTATGGTGGATATGAATCCCATGGAGAATATATGCATCAAAGTTTTGCATTCAATTTGGGCCACAAGATTTGTTTGCATGTGATTTCTTATCAACGCGGGCCCCACATAGACATCTTTTCTTCTATATAAAATGGAGAGAATATGGCTTCATTTCATTGCTTCCTTTGGAGTCTTTGAGTGGGGGGAGGAACATTGTTTATTTTGTGTAGTGGAAGCTCCGAGTTTTCTCATAAATTTTCAAGTATTTTGCATTTAGCATGGTGGTATGAGCCTATGCGGGTGTGTCAAATTTTAGAGGTTTCATTAATTTTAAAAGCTTGTATGCTTTTCGGAGCATAATGGGGACATACATGCAAATACTAAGGCTAACTAAATCAATCAAAATTTCATTTTGATCTCTTTAAGTTGCTCATGTCCACTCCACTTGCCGGGGATATGGATGGAGAATATGTACATTAAAGCTTTGCATTAAACTTGGGCGACAAGATTTGTTTGAATGTGGTTTCTTATCAAAGTGGACCCCACATAGACATCTTTCTTTCTATATAAAAAAGGAGAGAATATGGCTTCATTTTGTTGCATCCTTTGGTGTTTTTTGAGTGTGGAGGAACATTGTTTGTTTTGTGTGGTGGGGAGCTTCGAGCTTTCACATAAATGTTCAATTTTTTTTTTTTATTCCTTATATTTTGCATTCACTTTTTTTTTTGAGTATTTTGCATTTATTCAAATTTCTACTTAACTTTCGCTTAAAGCGCTTTTAAATTTAGTGTAAGCACAATTTAAATCATGTTAAATCCCTTTAAGTTTGCCCTTTAAATCCGACAACATTTAGACAGGACAGCATCCCGGCATCATCCCTTGTTGCCAAGAAAGACGTGTATACTTCCTATCACACAAAGAAACGCTTTTACAAGTTTTAAATCTATAAAGATAAATGCAACACGATTTCCCCACCATGCCAAGAAAATCATGTACAAGTGTCGCCTACACAATCTCAAGCACATGCAAAATATTTTCCCTCGGCGTCAAGAGAGATGCATTTTCACATAAATGTTCAATTTTTTTTTTTTATTCCTCATATTTTGCATTCACTTTTCTTTTTGAGTATTTTGCATTTATTCAAATTTCTATTTAATTTTCACTTGCAGTTTTTAAATTTAGTGTAAGCACAATTTAAATGATGTTAAATCCCTTTAAGTTTGCCCTTAAATCCGACAACATTTAGACAGCATCCCGGCATCATCCCTTGTTGCCAAGAAAGACGTGTATACTTCCTATCACACAAAGAAACGCTTTTACAAGTTTTAAATCTATAAAGATAAATGCAACACGATTTCCCCACCATGCCAAGAAAATCATGTACAAGTGCCGCCTACACAATCTCAAGCACATGCAAAATACTTTCCCTCGGCGTCAAGAGAGATGCATACAACTACTTGATTTTCAATTTTATATCGCGTCGCGAGCCCGTGTGCGAGTTTTCCCCAATCATGCTAAGAAAAGCGTGTACAAGACTCCCCTTGATGTGGCAAATGGGCTGCAATAAACAGTTCATGGGTTTTAGTTGTAGAAGTTATACATTTGATTTTATTACACCTGCATGAATTTCATGACATATAGCGTAAATAGAATTTTACATAAGCTCATCAACAAATCCACAATGACATTTCTATGCCCTAGAGAACCTCACATCACTTTAAACTTATACTCCTTTCCTAGTTCATACAAAACAATCAACCAAAATTAAATCTCTCGTAATTTTTGAGATCTGTAGTATCATCACGGAAAAAACAATCAACCAAAATTAAATCTCTCGTAATTTTTTAGACCTGTAGTATCATCATGGCAGCAGCAACTCACATACAAATCAGACAAAGAAGACCATCAAATTTTACAAAACCTGAAATCGTCTTCCCAACCATCTCATTTTACATGTTTATTGCTTGTAACCAGTCGGGAAACTGGCTTGGAGAGATGGGACAGTGAAAGTTGCTTTAGGATGGATATTGGAACTCTACCCTATATGAAAAGAGGGTAAGAGGGGCCGGTTCAGCCCCTTCTCTCAACTGAACCGGTTCAGCTTTTGGAGAAAAACCCCCATGTCAATGTACAACCCCATGTTGAGTACTTTTGATCCTCCAAATGCCTTGGCGTAGTCTAATTTGCAAATGAACATTATCTAAGGAGAATTTTGAGCCTGGTCATAATATTTCAAATTTGATCGTATAGCATCGCATTTATCATTTGTTGCTCTCGCCACATCTAATCGACTCATTTTGTGGAGTATATGTGAGGGTTAGCATTTCCTAAGTATGAATTTAACTTCTCATTGACTTCTAGAATGCTTAGAATTATAAGCTATAACTTTATCTAAAAAAGAATGTGAAGACCCATGTTTAAAGGATAAGAAATGTCATTACGGGAGTCTATTTGAAGATTCATGTTGACCAAATACATAACAAAATTCATTATTTGAATGTATAACAAGAGCACATATTGTCCCTCATGTCACGGAATTTGAAACACATGCAAGCAAACTGAAGGCGGCCATTAAACTCTAAAATAAAACTTTCTATACATTTTAATGATGAAATCATGCATTTTTTTTCTGAATCATATTCAAGATTATTAAAGTAAAGACATACAGATGTACTTTGAAAAATGTGTAAAACTGTTCAAAGTTAACTTTTGAGAATATTCAGCGGATTTAAAATAAGTTAAGAACAAATTCATCCCCTGCTTTAAGAAGTAAATAATCATTTTGAAATTCGTAAAATTCTCTTTTAAATTTGAATTCTTTCTCATCAACTAATTGCATGAGCTTTTGAGCTTGTAGTCTTGCCTGTATGTCATGGTTGCAGTCCCATCATTCAAGTTCGATTCTTCAAATCCAGAGGCCGGAGTGAAAAATTTTTCCACTGTGCGGCAGAAAAAAAAAAAACAGCCACCGCGATCCGATGTATCATAGCCATTGTTCGCACGGTGCTCCGTGCGACAACGCATGGGAAAATTTCTCGGCCGGAGTCAACAAGAGCTGAACCTTGCAAAAGATATTCAAATAGTAAATTTTTAAATCAATCATCATAAAATAATGATTTCAAATCGTAGTCTCCTGCTAATAAAATAAATCCTAATTAACAGACTGTATCTTCTATGAATGAGATAAAGTTGACAAAGTTCGTACAATAAAAAATGGTTTAAATATATTTAAAAAGTTTAATTTAGGAATTATACCCCATACAAATGATCATGCAGGGTAAATAAAGTTCAAGCAGCAAAGTTATATAACTGAAATTTTTGCCTATAAAAGAACAACGTTTTTAAATTGTTGGCCAATAAAAGAGAAGCATAAAACTACTTAAGTATTGCTAAAATGAAAATGCTAAGGTGAATGAGTGGCTTTACACTTAGAAATAAAATGTGAAATGAATATATCTGTGAAATGGTTGTTGTAGTTCCAGTGGCAGACTAGAATAGAGAGTCATCTTAAGATGATTTGGTCACATTAAACGTCGACCAACTAATGATCCAGCTAGGAGGGTAGATGTTCTAGATTTGACTTGTGTTAAGGAAGGTAGAGATAGAGCTAAAAAGACATGGGCATATTATATAAAAAAGTGATCTTAATTTATTAGAATTAAATGAAAATATGACACTCAATATGAAATGGAGAAAAGGATTCATTTAGTTGACCCACTTAGTGGGATAAAAGCTTGTTGTTGTTGTTGTTGTGGTTATATTGATAAAAAGTTAGATTGATTTTTATTTTGACAATGCCTCTATGTTGCATTCAAATCACTTTGGGGCAAAAAATTAGATAAAATTCTATATATGGAGAATATTCTAAAATTCAAAATATTAAGGCAAAACAATGCTTAAACTAAAGAGCCAAATTAATCTATTTTTATTAATAGTTTGTCAAGAAATTAAAACTAAGTTTGGCTCACAAATAAGCTAAAGTATGCTAAACATATATCTATGATCACTTTCAAAAGATCTCATGCTAGTAAGTGTGGCTGTCTTTTGATTATGTGATTTTAGCATCAAATGACACCATAAAATGAGTGTTTATGATTAGGGTTTTCAAACTGACTTGTTCTTTACCAAATTACTATTAATTTAGTCAGGATCAAATTATGGATGTTGCTCATTGGCTCATTCTTTGTGTTATGAATTATAAAATTTACTTAATATAACACAAAATCTTTGAATAACTAAAGTTTATTTAAAATTGTCCCCTTGGACAAATTCCTCTGAGGCCTACAAAATCATATTGATCAGCACAACTTATAGTTGTTGATATAAATTTTTCTATCATGTTAGGTCGGCTATCATTTTTAACTTAGTAGATTAGGGTTCATGACAATCCAGTATGACATAACCATGAGAACTTGATCAAGTTTGTCATCATTTCCCTCGACAACTACTCTAAACAAATGTAATATATTTTCAATCTAAAAGAAAAATTAATAATATTCGACAACTACTCTAAACAAATGTAATATATTTTCAATCTAAAAGCAAACTAATACTATTACATATTTGGCAATTAGCACATAACGATCACTCTTAATCGGAAGTTGTTTAACGTCACGAGAATGATTTATTAATATAGAGGTTTGTGCGTATAGAAAATATAAAACCGGATCATAAAATCTTTGCAAAATGTGAGTAAAATCTCTGAATACTATGTTACAAAGACAGCATGTCAACTGGAGTATAGGCCATTTAGTCCTCTATATTTATGAATATTAACTGTGGATTTTTTCTTCACTTTCCCTGGAACAATTTTACGTTAATTATGCACTAACATAGTTAATTATCACGCATACTAATCACTAATGTTGAAATTCCTTAAAATTACTGTTTCTTTAGGTGAGTCTGGGAAGTTTTCTGGTGGCTTTGATATAAGCGTCTTTGTTGAAGTTCAGAAAACAGGTTTGAAGACTCAAAAGACAATGTAAACAATTTATTATTACGCCACCATGATGAACTTTTCTCATGTGTTTCAACCTGGCAGGGGATCTATCACTTTTGCCTGATGTATCTATTGACCTGGTTATGAACACCATTGAAGGTTCTTACTTTCATTGCATGACTTATATAATCCATAAAAAAATAAAAATAATAATAAAATAAATTAAGGAATACTTATATACATACCACTAAATTCCTATGTATTTACATATCTTAACACCTAAACTTCTATTCTTATACTACATGCCACCTTACCTATGCATGAAACGGGAAAAAATATGACATTCTTTGTATGTGTGTTGAGACAACAGTGAATGGGAACGCTGCGTCACATCCAAATAAAATTATGATGATATGGTGATCTCATCAACCGTTGTCCTTAATATGTAAAATTTTCTGATAAAAATATGCACTTCACTTTTTAAAAGTTAAAAAGATGGTATTTTTTATGTGATAAGAAAATTTTGGGTTTTATAAATGTAAAAAAGTAAAGTTTAGGTGTTAGAAATATAAATACATAGGACCCTGAGATATTTTTTGCTGCCACTTCAGGTGCCCAAAAACCTTCAGTTGCAGCTATTCAAGGGCTTGCTCTGGGAGGTGGTTTGGAGTTGGCTATGGTTTGTTAATATTTCTAGCCTTCTCATTCTGCTAAAATAAATCATAAAGCTGCTTTTAGAAACTTTAGCTCTCTTTTCTGCGCCATTTTTGCAGGGATGTCATGCTCGAATATCTACTCCAGATGCTCAACTAGGGTTGCCAGAGTTGTCTCTTGGAATTATTCCTGGTTTTGGAGGTAGAAAGCCAAGCAGTTTTGAGTTGAATGTTCTCATAAAGGTATTGTGACTTTATGATCTATGATTTTTTTCTCTGTAAGGCACACAGCGTCTTCCCAGGCTGGTTGGGCTGCAGAAGGCCATGCAAATGTTGCTGGTGAGTGGTGTAATTTGTTTTATCAGAATACCTCATGTTGAACATTTTAACTTCTATGCGCACGTTAAATAGTTTTAAAATGTATTTTATTTATTTATTTATTTATAAACCAGCTAAAGTGCATTGTTGTCTAATATGAATTAAAACTTCTATTCAATCTGACTACAGCTCAGCGCAATTTATGAACACACCATACAATTCTTATGTATTTACATGTCTTAACACCTAAAGTTTGATTATTATATATTTATATATATATATATATAT